GCTGGCTGAACAATGAAGAGATTACTGTTAAACACTGGGGATGTTAACACTCGGTAAAGTAAAGTAAACTAGTGCCTGTCATCTTCTGCCTGTCAGATAAGATGGTCAAAAAAGTGTAATTAAGTCTTTTTTGCGTGGTTAATAACATCTTTCCAATGATTACTAAGTTTGTACCCATCATCACGGTTGAAATTATGTCTGTGTTTGTATATTTGTATGGCTTCGTGTACAAACCTTTGATGGTAGCCAGGAGGTTTGCAGAGAACCTTGGTCTCGGAAAAGACAATTTCATGAGAGCCCACTGAGTTGTAGCAATGATCGGCAACGGCCGAAGAATCAGTTCTGCCATGTTTCAGATCTGACTTGTGCTCGCGGACACGATCAGCAACATGACGTTTCGTTTCTCCAATGTAGCAATCACCACAAATGCAACTCAATTTGTAGACTCCAGGATACTGTAAGTCAGGAACAGCATCCTTCACAGATGGAATCAGATCACGGATTTTATGCACTGTACTGAATCGGACTTGGATCTTATGTTTGTTTAGAATTTTGGAGATCTTTTTGGTCACGCCTGCTATGTATGGTAACGTGAATGATGGGTACAAACTTAGTAATCATTGGAAAGATGTTATTAACCACGCAAAAAAGACTTAATTACACTTTTTTGACCATCTTATCTGACAGGCACTAGTTTACTTTACGTTACCGAGTGTTAACATCCCCAGTGTTTAACAGTAATCTCTTCATTGTTCAGCCAGCATTGGTATAAACATACGCATTTTCTTTCTATTCTCATGTGTATCAGACCTCCCCCCTCCCCCCTTTCTGTCCAATGCGTTGGCGTGGGCAGCAGTGTGTCGCTTGCGCACAATAGCTTCCACGCCGTCGCCCACCCCCTTTTTTTTTGGCCCTTCTCTCCCGATACTCTCCATTCATTGGCTACCACATTCTGATGAGCCCCCCCCCTCTCCTCCCCCCTCAACTCGCTTTTAAGGGATTACATCTTGAATCATTGCCTCACTTGATGCAGCTGATCTGGCTGTGACTGTCCCACCTGATGACGGAGACTTATGTTGCCTCCGAAACGTCGTGATCTTTATTTTTATTTTATTATTTTATTAATTTTGATGTTTTACCTACGTGACTTTACCGAAAACACCTAAGAATATGATTCCTTGCAGTCACGAAAGCTTCAAGTCTAGAATTAATGCCCTCTACGGGGGACAATTCCACCTATCTGTTAGAGTTTTTAACAGACAACGAGACAAGAAGTCACAGCTTCTCGAGACGCTGGCCTTCCTCAAGAGATGCCGAGATAACAAGGTAATACCCATCGCTTTCACACTCACATCCGCTGCTGTGTCCTCACCGAACTCTAAACAGATCTTATTTAAAGCTAGCCTATCACTAATCTCGGAGATAATAAGGTTACTCCGATCTGAACTCGATAATTTAGACAAGATTCTCTTACAAACACATTTAATGTTAACACAAAAAAATGTCACCTTCTGACTGGAACCACGTTGATAACATGACTTCTGCTTCTGCTGACTCAATGTCAGCCAAATGCAAAGCCAACCTGATTTCTAAATTCAACCTCCTATCTAAGAAGAAACCAGAGCCACACATCGCAAAGCTGGATGTTAACAAGACCGTGATTAATCAGAGTAACATCCCTATTTCTGACAATCTAAAAACGGTACTGGCCAAAGGACTAAATGTCGCCGTCACCCCTAAATATATACCAGTAGAAGATATGATTTCTCAGATTGATGTAGCCCTCAGAGGCATAGGACACATCCATGCGGATGTAGCAAGAGCTGAAATAGCTACTATTCTTAAGAATGCTAAGAAACCCACTAGTAACATCAGCAAAAACGAACGCTCTGAACTCGCGGACCTAAAAAAGAGAGATGATATAGTCATCCTCTCGGCAGACAAGGGCAATGCCACGGTCATCATGGATAAAGATTCATACAACAACAAAATCCTGGACCTTCTTAATGATGGGAGTTACTCCAAAATTAAAAACGATCCTACTAAAAGCCTAACGACGAAAACCAACAGTATCATCACGAGTTCGACTTCCCTAATCGAACCAAGCAAACGTCCCTCTCTAAAACCATCGGCTGCTAGACCTCCCAGACTCTATGGTCTTCCCAAAATCCATAAGGAAGGCACCACGCTACGACCCATCGTGTCGACGATAAACTCTCCTACGTACAAACTAGCCCGTTTTCTATCAGATACTCTGCTTCCCTTCACAGGCAAGACCTCTTCGGCAGTACTCAACTCAACCCAATTAGTCTCTATGGTTAAGGACATGGTACTATCTCCTGATGACATCCTCGTCAGCTTTGATGTAGTATCTTTGTTTACCAAAGTCTCAGTATCGGACACCCTAACAATAATTGAGGACTTAGTCCAACATGGATTGAATTCTGATGTACCTGCTCTGGTTAGGCATTGTCTCACCAACACCTATTTTACCTGGAATGGCACCTTCTACAAACAGAATGAGGGTACCCCTATGGGCTCCCCCTTGTCACCAGTTATAGCCAACATGTTCATGGAAAAGTTTGAATCAGACGCCATTCAGACATCCACCCTGCGTCCTTCCTTGTGGAAGAGGTATGTGGACGACACTTTCGTCATCTGGCCACATGGCCTCCCAGCACTGAACCACTTCTTGGACCACATGAATTCTAGACACCCATCCATCAGATTCACAATGGAAGTGGAGAAAGACGGTAAACTACCATTCTTGGATATTCTGTTTGAGAGGAGGCCTGACGGATCCTTGGGCCATTCTGTCTACAGGAAAGCCACCCACACAGATTCCTACTTGAAACCGGATTCCCACCACCACCCATCTCAAAAGAATTCTCTCATCAAAATGCTATACCACAGAGCCCATGGCATTTCTGACCAACACCACCTGACCGGTGAATTAAGACATGTACATCGGGCCCTCAGGATGAACGGATACTCTGACCGTACTATCCGCCAAGCTGTCTCTCCCACCACACAGAAGCAGCCACATGAAACTCCGACCAAAACTATCACGTTACCATACATAGCAGGCGTGACCAAAAAGATCTCCAAAATTCTAAACAAACATAAGATCCAAGTCCGATTCAGTACAGTGCATACAATCCGTGATCTGATTCCATCTGTGAAGGATGCTGTTCCTGACTTACAGTATCCTGGAGTCTACAAATTGAGTTGCATTTGTGGTGATTGCTACATTGGAGAAACGAAACGACATGTTGCTGATCGTGTCCGCGAGCACAAGTCAGATCTGAAACACGGCAGAACTGATTCTTCGGCCGTTGCCGATCATTGCTACAACTCAGTGGGCTCTCATGAAATTGTCTTTTTCGAGACCAAGGTTCTCTGCAAACCTCCTGGCTACCATCAAAGGTTTGTACACGAAGCCATACAAATATACAAACACAGACATAATTTCAACCGTGATGATGGGTGCAAACGTAGTAATCATTGGAAAGATGTTATTAACCACGCAAAAAAGACTTAATTACACTTTTTTGACCATCTTATCTGACAGGCACTAGTTTACTTTACTTTACCGAGTGTTAACATCCCCAGTGTTTAACAGTAATCTCTTCATTGTTCAGCCAGCATTGGTATAAACATACGCATTTTCTTTCTTTTCTCATGTGTATCAGACCTCCCCCCTCCCCCCTCTCTGTCCAATGCGTTGGCGTGGGCAGCAGTGTGTCGCTTGCGCACAATAGCTTCCACGCCGTCGCCCACCCCCTTTTTTTTGGCCCTTCTCTCCCGATACTTTCCATTCATTGGCTACCACATTCTGATGAGCCCCCCCCCCCTCTCCTCCCCCCTCAACTCGCTTTTAAGGGATTACATCTTGAATAATTGCCTCACTTGATGCAGCTGATCTGGCTGTGACTGTCCCACCTGATGACGGAGACTTGTGTTGCCTCCGAAACGTCGTGATCTTTATTTTTATTTTATTATTTTATTAATTTTGATGTTTTACCTACGTGACTTTACCGAAAACACCTAAGAATATGATTCCTTGCAGTCACGAAAGCTTCAAGTCTAGAATTAGAAACATTCAGGCTGTCCTGCCTACGATCCATCCCGGGTTTAACCAGGCTGGCTTGTGTGAGGAGCTTACATGTCATTAAAAGATCTGGACACATTCTCATCAGTGAGCTCCTCCGGCAGGCAAGGCTGCGTTGGCTGGGTCATGTCGCCCGCATGCCCAGCCACCACATACCCAAACAGCTTCTGTTTGGCCGGACCAAGGGGGCTAAACAGGCACAACACGGGCTGGAGAAGAGACGGAGCTGATGCGGTACGGGAGGATGTGGAGCTGAGTGGACTTCCTGACCACTGCTACTACCGGTGTCAAGATTAGCCTCTGTGGAGGAGGCTCGTGAAGGACGCTGCTGCTGGGCAGTTGGAGGCAGTCGCCTTCCAGCAACAACCAAGGGCGAAGGAATGACGCTCACAACAATGAGTGGCGTGCCGGGTGGCTAAAATGCAGCAAGTTGGTACAGGTTGGGGGTACAGCTGGTGCATCTACAGGTCATCTCAGTCTGCCAACCCATGGCACCTGGGTCCGTCCCAAGACCACCTGTCAGCAGCAAGCCTTCGACACTTCTGGTGGCCTCAAAGTGCACCTGGCCTGGCACAGGCGCCGTGGTGATGTTACTGTCACTTAGTGGCGATTGGCAGGTATTAGTGTGTGGGCATACACACTAGGAGTGAGCAGTAGTGTAGCAGTGAGCGCGCTGCGCTACGAAAGCAGCGACCCAAGTTAATTCTTGCTTACGGCCAAAAGAAGTACCTGGTGTGTAAACATCACCACTGGAGAGACCGTTTTGTGGTTGGTAAGCTGGTATTATTGTTCTTGGTAACATTGCAGATATATTTGTGGTGCACAAATTAAGGGAAATCTCAGTCCTACGAACAATAGAGCATGTATAATATGTTATGAACATGCTTACCAGATATGACAGCTAGGCTGTATTTAATGGTCTTCTTTTTTGCCTTCCTGTATGTTTCTATAGGCAAAATATCAGCCTGAACACCATCGTAACCTGTGAGAAAATTACGAAAGGGTTAATACATAAAAATCCATATCTAATGTTTATTCATGTATGGGGCAGTGCTCAACTTCATTAAACAATTCAATCAGGATCTAAGATAGCGGGCACATTAGAAAATGCTTCCAAGCGTATGATGGCCGATGGTCCAGAATAGTGGCAGAGTGGCAGCGAAGGAATGGAATGCATCCAAGAGGACGTATAACAGGGAGATGGAGCGATTAATTCAGTTTGTGTGAAGGTGCTTGGGAGCGGTGGTGTGGCGGTTAACCCGCTGCACTACGAATCCGGTGACACACACGAGTTTGATTCCCACTCACGGCCAACACTAGTGACAATTATCTCAACCGGTCTTGGGCTTCCCCAAGGTCGATTCGACCTCAAATGACTACCTAGTGCGGTGTATAGAAATCGCTACTAGGGAGACAAAGGCAGTCAGGCATGGTGCTGGCCACCCATCCCCTCGTGTACCGTTCCGGCCTTCATAGGTGCTCGCTAACAGCACTTGCCCCAACAGTATATTGAAGGCTGTATGGGGGATCTTTGTCTTTATTACATAATTGGATTGGGAGACATGATGACAGTTTGGGGGAAGCCTTCATCCAGGGTAGATCATGGCTTATGATGATGAAAAAATGACGACCAATTGGAATGTGCACAACATATGCAATTTACATTGAGACCTCCTTTGCCAGTAGCAGTGGAGACGAGACTAGGCTCTAAGAAAAGCCGTTTCGGGTATGGACCAATCAATTTCAAGGACAGTGCAAATCATGATCAGAGTTGTCTTTTTTTCTTTGCATTTTGACTGCTTGTGTTGTGGTTATTGCAAACATGATCCCTTGTATAAAGGTGTCAGATTTGGTGCCAGATAAAAGGGTAAAAACCTATTACTATATGCAATTTCATGTAATCGATGGCAACTACTATAGCCCTGCCTAAAGTACTGTACATTCCTTCGCTAGAGCTTGTGTGGCCAGCAATTGAGGTACGTACCATAATTGCTGCCAGTGGTTGCAACGGCGCGACATTTCAAGACATTTGCTGCATTGCTTTTTCTCCAGATGGTACGTACTATGAAAAAATACACCACACTTCACAAACACACGTAGCACGGTAAATGAAAAGAACACTGATATACATACTTTGTTTTGTTTACGTTACGTGACGTGACTTGTTCAGTAATCAAGATTTTTTTCTTTTTTTTCACTTGAATTGTAAATCTCAAGAATGCAAAAATCATTTAAAATGGATCCATTGGCCGGATTTGCTCCATTTGGGCTTCAGGATTACAGGAGTTGATAGGTTCCATGCGTATCCTATAATTCGCATTTTTCCCACAGAGAATAACAGAATCCTGTGGCTAATTCGTCCTTAAATCCGCCGTGCACTGTCATTGGGTTTTTTTTAGGTCTGCCGTGAATTACCGGATCCGTGAGTAGGTCATCCCCCATGTCACCGCGGATTATAAAATTTCGCCTGAAACAACACTTAAAATATACTCTACTACAGGTACTGAACTGTAATGAGTTACCATCACGGTGAAGCAGAGGATGGAGGGCTGATTCTTAAACCAAAAAACAGACTGATTCTCATGGGCTTGAATAATGTTTTTATAAAATAAATACAAAATTGAAGGAAAGGGTTTACCCAATTCCGTACAACAGGTACATAGATGTAGTTACTGTATTATAATGACTGGATAGTGTCCAGTCTTAATGTAATAAACTCGCTCCGGACGATATCGTGTCTTTGTCTTTTCTTTATTCGTTCTTCGTTTACACGGCTCCCTCGCACGCCGGGTTCCTTTTTCCCGTTTCTCCCGTTCCTTGAGCGTGGCGTTCGCTCGCTCGCTTCCTCACGCCGCTGGCTGACGGCGTGTGGGAGACAGCCTCTGGCCTGCCACATGGCTGCTGGCTTGCTGGAGGTACAGACGTGGTCTCTCTCTTCAGCCCCTCTCCACACTGACCTCTCTCCACCCCTTATAACACCTGGCCCACGTGATACCACGCAGCCAATCCTCAGCCTCACCCTTGGAACCTTCCAGATGTTGCTATGCAGCCACAGGGCTACGCCCCTGGCTCGACGTCCCATTGGCTGCGGGCTGAGGCCGGCAGAGCCTATCACCATCGCCCAGTTACCCCCCCGGGTGCATCCTCATATTACATTAATCAGTCCCTCCAGAAAAACGCGATTATGCGATCGCAAGATTCCACGCAAAATCAGCCAAAGTCCGCATATTTAGGCGGGGGGCGCGTTTTTTCAAATACGCCGCACTTTCGCCGCATAAATTGCAGATTTCCGCGCGCAAAATATGCGGGCTTGCATGATTTCATAATCCCCGCATTTTCGTTGCAAAAAGTCACATATATCTTAGCAGAAAGTTGAAAAATATTGAGTTTACTTCACACAAGCGCAGCCATTTCCCCTGTTGCCATGGGAACGTTATGAAGTGACGTCACTCATTACGCGACATCATTGAAAAGCTGCAAACCCCGCGATGCCAATGAAACCATGATGAAGAGTTTATGCAACTTTACAGTTGTAAGATAGCACTTTTTTGTTAGTAGTATGTAAATTTACATTACTGTAAGACTGTACTGTTACTGTATTGCTTACGTTACTGTGCACCGAAAACACTTATTTTAACAGAAGATGTCTGTTTTGTATAGCTACCTCTGTAAAACAGGAAGCACACATTTTATTTTTTAATATTTTATTTATTCATTTTTACAGAAGTTGTAGCATATTCATTTTGTAAAGCTACAGAACTTGTTCGACTCAATGTTTTGTAAGTTTGAGCCATCTGTTTGTTAAGGTCTGAAATAAAACAAGATGAGAACTTAAATATTCCCAGCACTTTCTGTGATGTAGTATGCTTGCTTATCATAGGAAGTAATAAGAAATGACTCTTTACATTAAAGTAGTAGCCTAGTGAATAGGGTGTTGGGGGAATCACTTTTTTTTCTCTTTTTCATCAAACCGCAGTTTTTGCAAGTTCCCGCAATTTAATCGCATAAAATTGCATAAATATCCCGCATATTCCATCGCATTTTTTAAGAAAACGTGCCGCATAATCAACGATTTTTGCCCGCAACAATCACCAAAAAACTCCGCGTTTTTCTGGAGGGACTGATTAATAAATGCATCTGGAATTACTACACAACATTAGCATAGCTTTAAGCAGTATCCTACGTTGCTCAGCTTAATTAGAGCGCGGAGAGTGTTCTGGTCGAAGGATTACGTGTTGTTTATTTGTGGAAAATATAAATACAAGTCTTTTTTTTAAGAGGTCCATTTAACTGTTTGTACAATGTGAATGCATGTGGCTCACCAGATGACAGTGAGCGGAATGAAGAACACCAAGCAGGCCACTGTGGTCATGTAGCTCGTCCAGAATATCTCCTTCTCTGCCCACACGACCCAGCACTGCTGCTCTCCATTAGGCAGCAGCTTTAGTGTGTACAGGGCGATCGTCGGGGACGCAAATAGCAAAGAGAGGCACCAGGCAGCCCCTACCAGCTGACGAGAGCGGCTGTCTGCACGCCACAAAAGTAAATGTGCACTTAAAATGAAATTCAGTCACGTCGCATGGTGATATTTGGGTAGTGCTATCATGAAAATGACGGCTGTTCGTAAAAACGTGTGCTGCCAATCACAATTTGTTTGGGGAATCATGGGGATGGCAATGGGTGTGCTACAACTGTGTGAACCAAGCGATTGATATTGTGATACCACGGGCGTGGTGCAACTCCACCAACGCCGCCATCCACACAAACGCATGCACACCCCCACGAAACACACACACGCACCCACGTAGGGTCTTGATGGGGGGGTGGTGCCTGGAACCACGGATTTTCATCCGAAGGGCCCCTAGCAGGGATGTCCCCCGGGTTTCCCGTTGCCAGGAGATTGGCCGACCTCCCCCAGGCCGGATTACATGGCGGCCCCCCTAAAATCAACTTAAAACGTCATAGGAGCGCATAGAGCTTTACAGGCTGGCCGCGATGAAGCATACAAAACACGGGAGGTGGGGCCTCGAAGGCAAACACTCTACGGGCAGTGCAAACAATGGGGTGGGGGAAAAATCCCTGGGCGTCCTAGGAGGAGTGATTTAAGAGAGAGACACAAGAAATTACTGGTGAATCAGAGATGAGGAACGCAGATACGGGGACAATGGAAAGGGGGGAGAGAGGGGGGGAGAATGACGTGATGCTTCCCCATAACGGCTAGAGCGTTCAAAACTCCGCAGGTAAAACGCTAGATTAGCCGCGCAGGATGACATCATGTCACCCGGGGATTAATGGGCTCTGAGAGGATAAGAGGGGAGGGAGAGAGCGAATTTGAAGCAGGGTTCTCCTGCGACCATCGAGAATCCCAGCCGCCCTCAGCATCCCCACGTATATTGCGCAATCAGCGCAGGCAGGTGGAACGCCGCGAGTGCGGACGTGCGTGTTGTGGAGTGAAGAGTGCCTCTAGCCACACGGTTCGGGACCCAGCTTGTGGTCCGGGCCGGGATAGCGAATCGGGTCTAGTTCTGCCGCAGTGTGACTAGATAGGCATTCAACATCCAAGTGTAGGTTGTGTTATGTTATGTTGAGTTGGTGTAATAAATAGTGTTGGACTCACTACACTACTGAAGTACCGGTGAGGACGCTTGACACCGAGGTGGAGGCACACGTGTATTTATTTTACAGTACAACAGTGGGCATATAACACTCGAGGGGGTATCGGCCCCCTCACCCGTATAACTGGGAATACACCCCTAGCTATCCCTGTCCTACCCCCGAGTCCTCCACTAACGGGCTAGGGGAGGCTATCTGGCCCGACACTGGTAAGTCGGGCCCGGTACCCGGAGTCCCAGACCAGCTCTTACAAGAGCACCGGCTCTGGCTTTCGGGACCACGCCGCTGGCTCAGTCCTGTTCGGCCCTGATAAGGACATCGAACTAGGGGAGTCCAGGGCTCTATCTAAGACGTCTTCAGTCTTCTCTGGTTAGCTTTTAACTCTACTCCCGAGCCCTTTGATACATCCCCTTTTATACCCAACCCCTCCCTGAGGGGTGGGGCCCCGGGGGATCCTAACGTTCGAACCAGCCCCCCCCAGGGTGCCTGGCTCGGACGTCGTAGAGGGCACCTCCCCGTGCACTTACGTAGCCCCGCCCACTGTGTTTGTTTGCCATAGGCTGCCATGCATAACGGCTCTCTCTCTAACACCCCTACATCACCCCCCCCCCCCCCCCGCATAGCTTGCAGCCGTCCCGGCTGCCAACATACAAAAAAAATGACAATAAAAGTGCATTTACCCCCTGACCGCGCGTGTGCCTCACTATTTTTCAACAATAACAAGAACAGCAACAAGAACACAACAAAATGCAACAGCAAGAAGAGAAAACAACCCGACGCACCCCCCCTGAATAAATACGAATTCCGTAAAAAAAACAGCCTATATACAATTTGCAGGGAACCCACCACACACACAACACCAGGTGAACCCAACGTATGTACATTCAATGGGCAGGGAACACACCACCCACACAACACCTGGTGAACCCAACGTATGTACATATCTTCCGGCCTCACAACAGTCTGCGCATTTTTGCGCGCGTCCTTGCAGCGGGCCCCTCACACGGGGTAACCCCGGGTGGCGGACCGTCAGGTGGCAATTGTCCGTCCCGGAGTGAGTCCTCATCCGACGCCGCGCGACCTTTGGTATCCCCAGGAGGGGTGGTCGGGCGTGAGCCCGTCAGTCCTGATGCACCTGGAGGTGGTACGGCCGGCAAGGCATTAGGTGAGGGCGACGGAGACGGACCCAGTGAGTCGGTCGACCCCCCACATGTTTGGCCACGCATATGTGAAGTGGGTTTGTGTACCGCAATGAAGGGTTTTAATCTAGAGGGGTGCACGAACCACCGCCGCTTCCCCCATTTGATGCGCACGCACTGTGGTCGCAAAACCTCGACCACCTCCACAGGTCCCCGCCACGGCCGCACCAGCTTAGAGGAGGTTGCCAGTGGCACCTGGGGACAGTGCAGCCATGCCTTGTCCCCCGGCTTCCACTGTATCATGTGCGCCCGACCCAGTCTGAGGCGCTCATTCGCCTTTTGACGGAGGTCCGAGTTTAGCATTGCAGCATCCCGCGCCTCTGTTAATTTGGCCAGATTAAATTTTACATGGTCAGCCAATTTAGTTTTTCCTTGCGGTTCGGGGATCTGCAGCTGGGCGCAAACAGGCGGGTCGGGTTCGCGACCGTACATGAGGTAAAAGGGAAAAAATCCCGTAGCTGCATGGGGTGCCATCCGGTATGCCGCCAAGACCCCTTGAATTTGCAGGTCCCAATCGGTCTGTGAGTCTGAGACCTGCTGTGACAACATTGACGTGATGGTGCGATGCAGGCGCTCGACCATCCCGTCAGTCTGCGGGTGATACGGGGAGGTACGAATTTTCTTCGTGCCCAGGAGCTCACAGACTTGTTTGAGTAGTTTACCGGAAAAATTTCTGCCCTGGTCGGTTAGCAGCCGCTCCGGAGCACCTTTGTCCAGGACGTATCCCTGAACAAAGGCCTCCACGATGGCTGCTGCCGACTGGTTGGCAAGGGGCCAGGCCATAGGCCAGCGTGTAAAATACTCCACACCAGTCAACAAATATCTATTGCCCCTGGGGGTGGCGGGGAATGGGCCCAAAATATCCAGCGCGACAAGCTCGTTTATTCTGGACACTTTGATCGATTGCAAGGGTGGGTTAGACTCCCGTGCCGGCGGTTTCCGTTGCGCACACCGAGGGCATGATCCCAATAAATCCCCAACATCCCTCGTCATGCCAGGCCAAAAAAAATCAAGTTGTAGCAAGGCGAGAGTCTTTTGGGTCCCCAGGTGTAGAAGGCGCTCATGCGCGGCCCACACCACCTTGCCTCGCAACCCAGAAGGGACCACCAGCCGATGTCGATGGGATTTCCCGTCCCAATGCATCAGCAGACCTTGCACCATTTCCCATGCATCAGAATCACCCTTCACCCGCCCAGCACCCCCGACGCGACGACGCCACCCGAGGAGGGAGGTATCCTCCATCTGGAGGCGCCCCCATTCAGTGACGGGCAACCCCAACAGGGAATCTCTTCCCTGTTGTTCGATCGAATTAGTAATTAATGTTTCGTCGTCGTCGGTGGCTGCCAAGACCGGAACCGATACGTCTCCTGAAGGCCTGCAACGTCCCGACCCCAGGAGGCATGCACATTCGGAGGTGGTTGGCATGCGCGACAGAGCGTCCGCATTTGTGTGGCGAACGCCCTTACGGTAGGTGGTTTCAAAATCAAAGTCCTGGAGAATCTCCAACCATCGAGACAATTGTCCCGATGGTTGTTGAACTCGCAGGGCATACTGTAGTGCCGCATGATCTGTGCGGACGGTGAAATGCCGACCGTACAGATATGGGCGATACTGTTGGATGAAATAGACAATTGCCAACAATTCCCGACGGGTGACACAATATCTTTGCTCCGCAGGAGACAACACCCGACTACCGTACGCGACCACCCGTTCCACGCCGTCAACCACCTGGGAAAGCACACCCCCAATACCCGTGTTGCTCGCATCGGTGTCGAGCAAAAAGGGCTTAGAAAAATCGGGGTAAACCAAGAGAGGAGCTTTTACCAGGGCGTCCCGAAGGGAGCAGAAAGCAGCCTCCTCCTCTTAACCCCAGTGGAACCGAACCCCTTTTGATGTTAAAGCGTGCAGGAGTTTGGCAATTGTCGCAAAATCAGCGACGAACCGTCGGTAATACGACGCGAAGCCAATGAAACTCCTGACCTCTCCCACCGAGGTGGGAGTCGGCCAGGAGCTGACACACTGCGTTTTGGCGGGATCGGTAGCAATACCTGAGCGTCCCACGATGTGCCCCAAATAACGCACCGAATCGCGTAACAAATGGCATTTTTGGGGCTTGAATTTCAAATTAGCAGCCCGCATCTTTAGGAAAACCGCCCGCAACCTCTGGAGATGTTCGTCAAAAGTTTTACCAAAGACGATAACGTCATCCAAATAAATGAGGCACGACTCCCATTGCAATCCAGCCAAAACCAATTCCATCAAACGCTGGAAAGTTGCCGGCGCTGAGTGTAAGCCCATCGGCAACCGGTTGAATTGGAACAGGCCGTGCGGTGTACGGAAAGCAGTTTTAGGCTTTGAGTCATCGTCCAGAAGAAGCTGCCAGAATCCCGAAAGTAAATCCAGTGTGGAAAAGAATCGCGCTCCCGCCAAGGCGTCCAGCGATTCATCCATCCGAGGGAGCGGGTATGCGTCGGCAACCGAAATTTTGTTAAGGCGCCGAAAATCAACGCAAAACCGCAACGAGCCGTCCTGCTTTTTAACCAGGACGATCGGCGCTCCCCAAGGGCTGGTGGAAGGAGAAATGATGTCGGCGGCCAACATATCATCAATAGCCGATTTGACATGGTCCTTTTCAGGCGGGACTCAACCGAAAGGGATTCTGGCGTATTGGCGCGCTGTCACCAGTATCAATATGGTGACGAAGCAGATGAGTGCAACCCAAATCGTATTTATCTCGACTGAAAACGTCGGAAAATTCCCGCAGTAGTGTTTTAAGTTGTTGACGCTCTGAATCCGACAGGTCCGTCGATCCCGCACAAAGCGCCTCGAGCCACCCTTCATCGCTGTCCGAATGCGGTCGCGGCGCAGGGACAACGCTGACGTGATTTGCGACGGGTTCCTCACATGGCACCGGCGTTGCGTGAGCAAGCACGGTCCCCTGTGGGACCACCACCGTCTGCGAGCCCACATTGAGGACCGCGAATGAAGGGTTCATCCGTCCCCTTTTACTATGGTCTGGGCCGGGAGTAAATGAGGTCCACTAACCCCGGCCCTAGACGGCCCCAGCAGAACCCCTTGGGCCCCAATACCCTTAGCGAAGGGCCGCCGAAGTTTCAAAGGAATCAACATTTGTGCCCCCGGAGGGACGCGCACCGTTCTATCTACGAATGCCGGCACCGTCGCGAACGCCGTCCGAGTCGTAACTGGCGATGGCAGAAACGCCATGCGTCGGCCCGACGGGAGCTCAATGCATCCCTGGTCGATTAATATCCTAATCGGCATTTTGGCCAGGAAGTCCGTCCCCAGCAGGCACGGAACCGCCAGCGAGGAGGAAACAAAAATCGGCCCAGACAATTTAATTTCCCCAATACAAATTTGGGCACGAATTTGTCCGATGATGCCAAGTGAGCCCCCGTTAGCAGCATAGAATGGCACGTTAACAGGCATCAAAGGACGGCTCTGGACAGGGAGAATATTGTAAATTAACTCCGAAATAATGGTCGCCGATGCTCCCGTATCGACCAGGATGCGTACCTCAACCCCGTCGATGTGCCCCACAACGGCAGACGACCCCGACGATGCGGCTACCACACGATCGGCCAACACGGACCACTGGACGGGTTCGATATGAGTACCCAGAGTGGTGCGTGATGGTGCGATGGTGCGCGATATCGGCCCCCCATTCGTTGCGGTGTTTGAGTGCGTGACGGGCGTGTGCGTGGGCCAAACATGTGGGATGCCGCGACTTGCCGGGTTATGATGGTGGAGCTTGTGACGAGGGCCGTCGTCCCGTTGAGGTGTCGTCCCGCGCTGTCGAGGAGAGCGGCACCCCGAGGCGACGTGGCCCCGGACGCCGCATTTGAAACACCGTGGGAGTGCCGTCGGAGATGATGGACGGTCGAAGTGGCTCGACCCGTCCCGGCCCGACCGTGCTCCTGTCGCCTGTTGCCGTCGGTGGTCGACGGCGTAGAGCTCCTCCGTCGGAAGGGTGGCTGCAGCCACCGCACGCCCGGCCGATGCCCTGCTGGCTTTCCGCCGCAGTGACAGAAGGTTGGCGTGGAGGAGCCGCGCAGCCTGGAGCGATGTCATCTCCGCGTCCTCCTGTGCGACGACAGCGATGTCAAGGTCGTCTGCCAGGAGGAGGATTTTCTCCGTGACCATCGCATCCACGCCGTCGTCGTCCATACGAGGAAAGGCCGTCTTTGCCATCGCCAGGAGGCTCGTCCGGTATGCCAGGGGCGACTCCTTTTCACCCCGCTTGCGATCGTAAAACTGCTGTCGGCATTCAGCTGATGGTCCATAGACCCCGGCCAGCAGTTGTAGCGCCATCGGCAGCATAGAACGCTTTTCCCTCGGCGCCGATGTGAGGGCGGCGAGCGCGTCGCCGTCGAGGAGCGCCGGCAGCGCGCGGAGAGCCTCCTCGTCCGACCAGTTCGCCATTTCTTTGTGGGCGAGGAAGCGTCGCCGAAAGCCGCCCCAGTCTCCCTCCGCGCCGACGAACTCCTTAAGCGGGGGCAGTCTCTGGTGGAGCGCAGCGGCTGTTGTAGGACCCCGTAGGTTGTTGTCACCCCGACTCGGCTGTGGCTCAGCGCGAACGGCCGATGGGATCGCCTGTCGCGGTTGTAATGACGCACCCTCCGCCGGTGATGACGCTGCAGCTCCAGCGAGGCCGATGTCGGAGCGGATGTTCAAGCTGGCCACGCCCTGAGCAGCTGTAGCGTCGATGGCGGGAAATTCAAATTCCGATTGTTCTGAAATGGTGGGAAGGCGTCCCGGTCGTCGGCTCGCCTCGCCCCGTGGTGGATCACCAGCCCCCATTTGCGTGATGGTCTCCAGCGTGGCGGCAGCGGCATACAGCAGCTCCGCCAGCCTTCCGTGAGCCAGCCGTAACGCGTCTGGCTGCGGCTCCTCTTCATCCCGATGCCCCGGTAAGAAGGCGCCAGGCCCCGGCTGCACCATGTCTTGTGGAGCCGTCTCGGGCCCGACGATCTCGGCAGTGTCTTCCTCCTGCGGTACTTTGGCCTGAGCTGTATTCCGCGTTTCCATGTTCGTATTACTTCTGACTCCAGTTGAAGTACCGGTGAGGACGCTTGACACCGAGGTGGAGGCACACGTGTATTTATTTTACAGTACAACAGTGGGCATATAACACTCGAGGGGGTATCGGCCCCCTCACCCGTATAACTGGGAATACACCCCTAGCTATCCCTGTCCTACCCCCGAGTCCTCCACTAACGGGCTAGGGGAGGCTATCTGGCCCGACACTGGTAAGTCGGGCCCGGTACCCGGAGTCCCAGACCAGCTCTTACAAGAGCACCGGCTCTGGCTTTCGGGACCACGCCGCTGGCTCAGTCCTGTTCGGCCCTGATAAGGACATCGAACTAGGGGAGTCCAGGGCTCTATCTAAGACGTCTTCAGTCTTCTCTGGTTAGCTTTTAACTCTACTCCCGAGCCCTTTGATACATCCCCTTTTATACCCAACCCCTCCCTGAGGGGTGGGGCCCCGGGGGATCCTAACGTTCGAACCAGCCCCCCCCAGGGTGCCTGGCTCGGACGTCGTAGAGGGCACCTCCCCGTGCACTTACGTAGCCCCGCCCACTGTGTTTGTTTGCCATAGGCTGCCATGCATAACGGCTCTCTCTCTAACACCCCTACACTACTATAATGAGCCAAGAATGTCTGTGTGTCCTGCGCGTGACGTCACTCCACGTCGACCACCCCTTAATTAATAATCATGAACAGGTTACATCCTCCACATGGACCCCCCCTCATTAATAATCATGAGCGGGTGATGTCACTCCGCATGGAGAACCCCCTCTCCCCTTCATTAATAATCATAAGGTGACGTCACTCCACATCGAACAGCCCCCTCATTAATAATCATGAACAGGTGACGTCCTATTCTTTGGTTCTTTCGGTAAAGTCACGTAGATAGAAAAAAATAATAAAAATAAAATATTAATAATAAATAATATAAAAAACAAAAAAAACACTGATGTATACTGTAGCCTGGTTCTTAGTCGGAGTGAGTGTCCTGGCAGTCTATGTTGACTGGAGCCTAGTTATTAAGTTTGGTCAGTGTACTGGCAGTCTATAATGTATACTGTAGCCTGGTTCTTAACCTCGGTGAGTGTACTGGCAGTTTATAATGTAGACTGTAGCCTCGTTTTTAAGCTGGTGAGGGTATTGGTAGTCTATGATGTAGACTGTAGCAATGGTTATTGAACTGAGTGAGCACACTGGCAGTATAGAATGTAGACTGTAGCCAGGTTCTTAACCTGAGAGAGTGTATTGGCAGTCGAAAATGTAGAATTATTCTGGTTCTTTCAGTAATAAAAATAAAATAAAAACCACGACGTTTCGTGATGTCCCTTAAATAGACCACCCCCCACGCCATTAATAATAATTAGCGGGTGACGTCACTCCACATGAGGGGGCGAGGCCTCCTCCCCCCTCCTCAGCGTCAACTTATAACCCTCACTAAAAAGGCAGAATCCTCACGTCACGCAGTCTCCGTAACGCTATTGAGACATAGAAGTAAAAAGGACGTCATGATGAAGAAGGGATTATAACCTTTAAATTAAATAAGTCTGTGTCATCGCTTCCTTACAAATTGCACGCAAATGGATGCAATGAATATCACGTCGCAGTCTGCTTTTCGCTTGCAAGTTTCAGATTTACTGCAATACACCCGTCCTTGGACGGGCAAAAGGCGAGTTAAATATATTCATCTTCTCTTATATAAAAATCTTCAGATATGAAACCTAAAAGACAACTTAAAAATTGTGAAAAATTAATAAACATAATCTGTCTAGATCTGCAATCAGAAGGTTGTGAGTTCAAATCCTAGTTGGTCAGTGCATGTTGGTGAAGCAGGGCCCAATATCACTTCAAATATCACTATCCAATTTTTTTAGCCATGACCTAGAATAAAACTGAGGTTACCAACTTCATAGCACAGTGAGCTAAATCGCCACTTCACCCTCACGACATGAATGTATTTCAGTGGTGGAAGTGTTACCTGTTTTTGAAAATTTCATGGGATGCACGATGGCCAGGTAACGGTCTATGCTCAAAGATACCAACACGTACGTGGAGGCGTACAAAAGTACCACCTGAGAAAGAAGAAAAACCGTCACTGTGGGAAAATGTCAGTAATGTGTTAAGCAAAGTCATTCAGCCAAAGGATGAGTCAATCCCAGTGTTTGCAAGTATTTGAATAAATTACTGTAATTTCGGGTGAAAAAAAATCATATATACCACGTGTTAAATCAGGTCAATCATCTGCTTTGCAGTTTTTGGAAAAACCATACATGTAATGAATTATTATAATCATGGAGAAATGAATTAGTCAGTAGCTTCGGTTAATGTGGAATCAAAGAAACCAGTCTATATGTAGTGTTGTAAGGACGGACTTCTGGACTTCTTTATGGCACACACTGTTTATTATCTTAATACACAGTCCCTATCACACTAAGGGGTATATGGTCCCCTCACCCATTACCCTCAGAAGGTACAAGCCTCCGGACCCTGCAGGCTGTCTAATCTCCCTGCTCTCCCAGCGTCCTCTGGCTGGACCTAGGGGATTTCTCCCCAACCACTGGTTACTCTGAGCCCGAGCCCTGATAAGGGCTGGAGGGCTTGGTCCAGGGTCCTAGACGTCTTCAGCCGACTTGGATCTTCGTGTAGCAGAACTCCTCCAGAGCTCTCAGCGCTCTGGCTTTTATATCTGTTCGTGGCCGGGTTGTCCAATCCCCGGCCACCTTGTGAGTCCCTCTGATTGGTCCTTCCCAATCTGGGGTTGGATCCTACCTCACCCCATTTGACCCTGACCGTTTGATTGAGCGGGAAAACATTGTTTACGATCTGCTGTCACAGTTTGCGAACAGCGAGTAGTTTACACCACTACACATATATGGAAATGTTGCGCTCCAGAACTGTAGAGCTTATTTACAGTTTGGTGACTGCACGTTAATTGCTTTAAAGATAGTTTGCCATTGGACCTGGGTGTTGGCATCTAAATAGGTTCCATTTTTCCGCAAACTCCAACTCGAAACCCGTACACAAGAAGCGTCAGACTAGGTCCATCAACAGTACAGCAAGAAGGTTGGTCACCTTTCTGCACTTAATTTATTTTTACCTTGTAAAAATGCAGCTTTCGATATACTCTGGTTTCCATTTGCATCGAACAAGAATATTGAGATTTAATTGACGTTTCTTTGGTTGAACAAATCATTGTTACTGCAATGTCTACTGCTCAGTAAGTTGGAGGGAGCAGGATGTAAACAAATATATTAAACTTGGTTTAACATTCTGAACAATTAAGTGAGCTGCTGAAATAATAGAGCGAAGGTTACTAAATTTATGTGTTTCCACGTACCATGAAAAACTAATCAGATAAGTGCGTCAACATATTACTCAATTAGCGTAATCACATCTTTGACAAATTATGAATAATATGATTGGTAATTAAAAAGGCTCTTTGTGAGCATTATCTTCTCATGAACAATTTATACTGTAATATTTACTGGAAAGGCTTTTTTTCATGTTAATATGAGACAGCATAAAGGAATCATAACAAAATTAACTAAGAGTTCAACTTCCTTTCAAAATCTAAGATTACATGCTGTTCACCAATTATGGTGCAGGTTTTTTTTTGTTTATCCTATTTCTCAATGGCTTGCTCTATGATTATTATATAACCGTGGTTATTGCCGTATTTTTAAGCTTCTGTGATAAATTTTTTTATATGCAAAGCGTAATTCTAGATTACATTAATTTGACTAAATGTAATAGGAATGAGTGAATTGCCTGAATTCCCACAAAGTGATCGATAGGCCACATGGAGGAGCAACAGCTGCAAGATGTAAGCAGAAGTCCTCATTAAATTAATATTCAAAGTTATCTCACTTTAGTGACAGGATGGGATGGGCATGGCAGTTTGACCAGCTGATGTTGAGATTGACAAGACAAGTGCCTGGTCTCCTTTGACTTCTCTAGGTGCCACGGCAGCAAGATATTAACTCTCTCACTTGGTATGCAGAAGGTCGTGGATCCTGACCCTGAAGCCTGTATATTTGAAGTTTGTACGTTCTCCACGTGGTTACATGGATTTTTCTCCGGGTCCTCCGGTTTCCCCTCCACATTTATAAACATGCATTTAGAGTATTTTGTTGCTATGGAATGTCACGCGATAAGTCACTTCGTTGAGCTTCCATTTGTGGCCAGGTCGACCTGAAAAAGAGCTATGTAGCTCAGTGGCCATTACCTGGTGAAATAAAAAATAGTTTGTCGTTTAGTTTAGAATTGCAGGTGAATATCTCCTCTTCCCTCCCTGTTCCTCTTCCTTCATCTCCTTTGCTCTTCATGTAAACTAATGTGATCAATGTCCTCAAGATATTAACACAATGGTATAGCATACATTGTGGTGTTGTTTTTTTGGGTACGAAGGTTTCCTGCCACATGCCAAACCATCAATAATGGAATTTGTCAGGCAACGGAATGCAGGACCCTCCTGAAAAAAAGAGTCATAAAGTACAGTGCCACTTTACTGTATAAATAAATAAAAGGTGTTTAGCTATGAAACGACCACAATGGATTCCAATGTAGTTTAATTATCTTAGCCAATCAACCTTATTGAAAATGTTTGGACAGGTTGACAAGTTAATCAAAATATTGCAGAACTGACGAGTTGTTGACAGCACATCATTGCATATTCTATAAAGCTACTTGCCCAGATTTGTTTTTTTTAGAAGAGCAGCTCCTTAAAACCTATACATTGTAACACTCTGAAAGAACATGTAACAGCTGAAGATTGAGTACTCAAGCGGCACTCAACTGTGTCTTGTTTCATCTTCAGTGGGCACAACGCTTTAAGACATACAGTACTTTCCTGAGTACATCGTGATGATATTGAATTACCAAGGGAATGAGGCTTACCTGCAGATATCGCACAATCCGGCACATGGCATCATTGGCTAGAAACTCTCCAGTATATCTCCAGATGATATCTGTAAGGATGGTCACTAATCCTGTTAGAAGATCTGCAAAATACTCAGAAAGTGGAAACACATTCAACTCAAATACAGCAATATTTTAACATTGAAAAACCAGGCAATGAACAGCAAATTATGAAACACTAAACATTTTGAGAATGGTTCCTGAGCAGTGAATTTATGAAAATTAGAAATGTATACATTATTTTTCAATGTAATATTTTTTCCTGTCTCCATTGGTGTTGAAATATCTTTCAGAACGTTTATTCAAAGTCAAAGCACTTCCCTGCTCAAAAGAGAAAAGGGGGACTCCTCTTCATCTCGGCTCCGAGCCGGTGGGTAGAAATTTAATATTCAAAGAGTGAGAGCCATTGTCTGCACATGTTTATCACTGCCGACCTCTCCCATAGTGGTACTTACTCTATCGACCCATGGGAGATGATGGCCTGTGTAAAATGAAATGGAATTTGAACTCACAATTTTCAATATAAATTGAGTGCCCGAATCATAGAAATAATCGATATGACTGTGAAAAGTGTACGCTTTTATAAGTTAGAGAAAGAAAAAAAAGATTTATGTCAAAGATAGAATTGTTGTATTTTTGCTGAATGGCAGACATAATTGCTGTATCCATAATCTTCCATGTCTGTTTTACATCATTAAGCAGTTCATTTAATAGAAGAATATTGAATAATATGTGTATTTACGCTGCATTAAGTGTTGTTTGGCATGTAAATTGTCAATTCATTATGGAGCATTTCCTTAAGTGTAATGTTTTGCATATGCGTTTTTGTGCAATTTTTTTACTGGGAATGCAGGTGGTGATAAGGAACAATTTTCCAATATAATACCAGAATGTATGCGAAAAGCGCGTGCCACCAAAAAATCCCTCCACCCCTTATTCAGCCTCTGTCTGCCAGCTCACCATTGTGTGGTCGCTGCACACGTGTTAGGTAGAAATACATTGTTCGTTGATAGTTTTAAAAAGTACAAAGGGCTTAGAAATAAGAGGGAAAAACGCAAAGTAAATGATGATCATGCCTCTGACAAGAAAAGGTAAAGCAAACGTGTAACCAGAGGTAAAATAATAAGTTATAACTCATTTTGAAGCAAGTCAAAAGGCGGTCGTCAAATATTAACGGTGTGTGGCAATCAGCAAGTTATTTAAACATCTCTGGGAAGTTTTATCTAATTATTTGTATGTATTATTAGTAAAAATACATGTTATGATCATGCTATTTTTGTCCACTTCATGATATTTAGTCACGTGTCTTTTTCCAGAAATGTCGGCTCGGACGGCTTGGAACGGAACCCCTGATTTTAACAATATGTGTATGAAAAATTAGTTGGCTTTAAATAATTTCGAGTTTAGTAGCATTTCTCAGGAATGCATCCCTTGTGTATAGCGGGGGATTCCTATATATTGCACTTAAATGTCTCAGCAACTAAAAGCACCTTATATCGCATCTCGTCTCAAACATTCAAAGGGGACCCCAGTGGAAGCTGTCCTTGTGCAGCACGAGGCATTTCAGCACTGGCCTGCAAGCGGGCATTCGTAATTTATTCGACCTGCTTGTCAGTTTTGATGTGGTTTCCTTATTCACCAAAGTTCCTGTACCTGACACCATCGCAATCATTGAAGATTTGGTTCATCAAGGACTGAATACTGGGGTACCCCCCCTGTTGAGACACTGCTTAACCAATACATACTTCACCTGGAATGAAACTTTCTACAAATAAACTGAGGGCACCCCAATGGGCTCCCCCTATCTCCGGTTGTAGCCAACGTTTTCATGGATAAATTTGAGACTGACGCCATCCAGACTGCCACTCTACGCCCGACCTTATGGAAGAGGTACGTAGATGACACTTTTGTCATCTGGCCACATGGCCGGCCTGCTCTAGACCAATTCCTCGACCACATCAATTCCATACACCCAGCCATCAGATTCACCATGGAAGTCGAAAAAGATGGCAAGCTACCCTTTTTGGATGTCCTAATTAAAAGGAGACCTGATGGTTCAATGAGCCATTCTGTCTACAGGAAAGTCACCCATACGGATGCTTACCTAAAACCGGATTCCCACCACCATCCATCCCAGAAGAACTCCCTCATCAAGACTCTACACCATAGGGCCCAATGCATCTCCGACCAGGAACACATTGCCAGTGAACTCAAACACGTACGCCAAGCTCTTAAGGCTAATGGTTACTCCGACTACACAATCCGCAAAGCCATCACTCCAACCATCAAGAAGGATCCTGTTGAGGAGCCTTTCAAAACCATCACCTTACCCTACATTGCTGGGGTCACAAAAAATATCTCCAAAATCCTGATTAAACACAAGATCCAGGTCCTATTCAACACAGTACATACAATCCGTGATCTGGTCCTGTCTGTAAAAGACGTGGTTCCAGACATACAGTACCATGGCGTCTACAAACTAAGTTGCCTCTGTGGTAGCAGTTACATTGGAGAAACCAAACGACATGTCTCGGACCGCATTCGTGAACATAAAACAGACCTGAAACACGGTAGGACAAACACCTCAGCCGTGGTAGATCACTGTTACAATTTAGTGGGCTCACATGACATTGACTTCTCCAAGACAGAGGTTCTCTGCAAGCCATCTGGCTACCATGAGAGATTTGTTCATGAGGCGATCCACATATACAAACACAGAGACAATTTAAACCGAGAAGATGGATTCTGGTTAAGCAATCATTGGAAGGACGTAATAAACCATTTCGGATCTTAACTGATTGTTGTTCACGTTTACGGTGACTTTCAGACCGCAGCCCACTCACTGGCATTGACTGTGTATCCTGTGTTCTCCACAAGGAATGCATTATTTGCTCCGCTGCGGGTCTCCTTTCACCGCTCTCCCATTGACATGTTTCATTGCTTCTACATACTATTAACATTCCCTCCCTTTGTTAATGCTACCCCTACCCCCTCCCTTTGATGCTGCTAATCCTGCATAATGCATGGGCATAATATGACTTTGAACCCCCCCCCCGCCCACCTCCTACGCATTTCCCATAAATATGCAAAATTCCTCTTGATATGCAAATTATTTTGTCAAGGCGCTCTTCTTCCACCTCCAACCCAGCTTATATATACGCTCCAAGCTTGGCAGTGTTTCATTCTTCACCTGAAGACGGCTGCTTGCGTTGTAGCCAAAACTTCGTGAGAATTATTTTATTATGTTTTATTTTAATTATTTTATTACTTCCCTTCTACGTGACTTTACCGAAAGAACCAAGAAGATGGTACAATATCCTAACACACTGACATATGGACACACAGGATGTTACAAGTGAAGAAAGATTTTCACGATTATTCTCTCGTGACCAGGTAAACCATGACAACAGTGGTTACCTCTAAAAATGTGTACCTCAAAAGAGGTTAACTTTTAAGCAGGGTTTCTAAATGCTCACCTATCTTCTTGCCCACCACTGCGCATCTTAATATGTTCACAAGTAATTTCAAGCCAATGTTGAGTTGTGACACTTCATACATTTGACGATTTGAAAACATAAATGAATCTTCAGTGTCCGTGATGGGGTGCTGTTGTGAATAAATAACATTAGAATGACAGTGGAACTGTTTGATTCACAATCAGAACATCAAAAAGATTACTATCGAGAGGGGGCCATTCTGTCCTCCTAGCTCGTCAAAGTAGGAAACCAAAGATATTCAGAGGATAGTTAAAAGTCTAGTTAGTGATTGTCACACCATCCTCCAGTTCAAATAATGGGCAACTGTGGTGGACAGACATTATACACGCCGGTGAGGGTGTGCACGGTGTGTTGGCAGGTCACGGCGGAGCCAGGCCGCGCATGGTAGCATAAAAGGAGCCAAGAGCGGGAGTTTGAGTCTGCCGGTTCTGGGAGTGGACTCGTCTTGTCGTTGCTGTCGTCTCGTTGCCGTTGTCGCTACTGTCTCCGCTAGATATTGCGCGACGAAGGATAGTAGTTGGCTATCTCAGTCAGCGCCGTCAGTGTTAGATGGCTAGTGTTCTGTACAGGCAAGGCTCAGCTATTGTGGAGAGTTTGTGGATGAGACCGTGGAAGTTGTTAATAAAGAAGGTGCCTCCTATAAACTCTGTTTCTGAATCGTTGACACTACAACTAGTGTCAGAAGTGGTTGAAAAATTCGACAGGCATTAGGGTATAAGTCGCAATATCGAAGCTATCCAGGAAGAAGAATCCACCCATAGTGTCATCAAAGGGCGAGGACGGCGAGACGGTCATCCGGTTACAAACCTCATGGGCGCGGGAGTGGCGGCTGCGGATCAGCGGGAGAGGGGCACCGATCCTCCGGAGTTGCGAGCTGAGGATTGGTGGGATGAGGTGGTTAGCCACCTCGACTTGCTACTCATGACCATCGGCCAGCTGGTTGCGCAGCTCTCCACGTCTGCCATTCAGGAGACAGCGGTTGTCGACTGCCATTTCGGCTGCGGAGGGTACGGCATTGTCGGTGGGTGCCACTTGGAGTGGGCCGCGGGGCTTGCTGGAGCTGCCGTCTGCAGCGGCAATTCCAGCGGCAGAGACCACGCGGTTGCCGGGCGCCATTTTGCCCGCGGAGGGCATGGCTTGGCTGGTGGGTACCATTTGGAGCGGGACGTGGGACGATGCTAAGGCAGCGCTACAAGGAAGCGCGTGCCGACAAAGATAGCTGCCTCCCATTCAGGAGTTCGTGGCAGCAGGAGGCGATTGGACGGCATTCTGTCATCGCTTTGAGGCAGCTTGGTTGTCTGTCGGGTGGATGGAAGAGGAGGCCCTGTGAGCCCTACCGACGGCCCTGGACGATGATGCGTTGGTGGCGTTCCAGGCCATTCCGGAAGGTAATCGGTCAACTCTCCAGCGGGCATACACCCAAATGGCGGCAATCATTGACCCGCCGTACAACACCCACAGGAAATTTTTGCAGCGGCAGTGAGGGGAAACCGAGACGCCTCTCACTTTTCGTAGTGCTTTACTGGCGTTGGGGCAGGAGGCATATCCCCTCATAGACCGGACGGCGCTCAACTCCCTAGCAGTGG